AGAAAGATGAAAGGTAAATCGTGACTTACCCCCTCCGCCTCCCCCTCCTCCGCTGAAGTCGCAAATAAGCTCCACTTGGATGGAGCGAGGAATAAAGGAAAGGAGAATAGCGAAAAAAATGCCCAAAGCCCTCATACTTGTGCGCTTTCAGTGACTTAACACTATTTTATAAATGATTACGCAGTTGTGTCAATTTATCTCTCGAGTGCAATCGCACACTAGTGCATCTCATTAGCACCATAATGTTATAATATAATGCACTGTGCAAATGAAGGACACAAATTTCGGCTTATTGAAAAATTTGTTACAAATCAACATTCATAGCATATCAAATTGCTTTCTATTTTCTTCAGCATATAAGGTGATGGGCCCATATTTTTTGCATATACTTGTGTATGTATACCTGAGCACAGGATAGTCGATATAAAAATTATCTGCAGAGAGCAGCTATTCTTGTTTTAATTTGTTAGCTGGTTTCCCAAAAATCTCGTTTTGTTTTTCCTATTGGAGTATCAAATCTATCCTATAGCAATGATGCGCAGGCTCAGTGAGAGAAAAACAAGACAGCTTTTTGCGGATGCTCTACATAAAGTTTGGGTTGCTCTTTTAGTGGCGCTGCTTCTATGTTGGCATTTTGCATTGTTCCGAGAAAATTCCATGAATCCTTGATTCCAAGTTATAGTATCATTACGCACCAAAGCTAGGCTAATAGACTGAAGAGATAATTTTGGAGTTCATTCTAACAAAATGATCGCTTCATTTCAAAGAAAAAATATTGTTATGCTGATAAATGTATTATCAGCATAATTAATTCTGCACGACACTGGTTTATCTATTGCTCATGATGAAAGTAAAGTGCGCTTGCTGACTTGACCCTTTCAGCCCTCTTGATTGTATACTCTCTTCAGCTTAAATTTGGTTGATGCTATCGGAACTGTTTTTACTTTGTTAATTGTGCTATTTTGCGAATATTCTAGTCTATTTGTTTATTTTGACTATTCCGTTTAAGTTTACACACCTTCACCTACATAGGACTGCTATCTGCTCAGCTTTCGTAGTGTCAGCAATGAATTTCATAACTATGCGTTTGTATGGAGCTACGGGTAGTGCAGTCGCTCTTAAAGTACACTATAAGTTTACATATACTCACAAAGCAATTTCGTAGGTTCCAGAGCTTTGAAAGCAAATTTTTATGTGGGTGGGATCACCAATAAAGGATGCCACTACAACTTAAACATAATGTATTTGAGTTTATAAAATTCAATGAAGATGTGTAGCTTTACATTTCATGAGTTTACCCCTGACCTTTAGTCTTTGTCGGCAGTTGATGTGAACTGCATGCGTGGTACTGAAGTTCTAGTAAGATTAAATCGAACTACATATACCAGCAATTGAGACACTACCTGAATAAAAATTCTTAGGCTTGTGCTGATTTCTTCCAACCAGTACTAATACAAAATTCATGTTTTACAGAGTTCTGCTAACTTATTGGGTTCCTAGCAATTTAAGGGTGCGATAGAGAAAGTACAATCACGAAATGCTTGCTTCTTTTGCGATAGTGGTCGACGACGCAAAGTCTTCAGTGGAGCAAATATGTTGCGCATAGCTTTAACCAAGTTTTGGTGCATTGGGTTGTTTTGATAACAACGCTTTTACATATCTTCTTGCAGTTGCCCATTCAGAAAAATACCGAAAACAGAATGGTATTGAGACTGTACTTTGAAACGTCAATTGCAAGTTGTACGGGAACTTTAGCGCATCGGCTTTTCTTTTACCGTAAAAGCCTTCCCATCAACTCCAGCAAATCGATAGTTGTTGCAGCTACACTATTAAAGCTCGAGTAGTAGAGATTATGGCTTGATCCGTTAGTGTCAACATGAGAGTTGTCACAAAAGCAGGCCATTTCTCCGGATATGTAACGTGAGAGCACGCAGAACGATGGCTGCGGCATTCTCTTTGACGAGCTACAATCTCATTTTTAATCCATAAAAGTAGAGAACGTTGAAACGAACATAAACAGGACGCTGATTTTGCTTGGACTTGTTCTCAAAATTTGTTGAACTTTTTTTGCATTTTCTTTTAAACAAATCTATACAAGCTTTTCATTGAGAGTGAGTATAGTGGAACAATTCATTCATGTAAGCAAAACATGCATAATTTAGTCCATATATCAGCTATAGCTACATTTGAAATTT